CAAGACGGATCTCTTCTGGCAGGCCTTTCCAGATTAACTATCCCGGCCCAGGCTCTCTGATCCCCTCATTCCTCCCGCGGCCCCATCTTTAGTGATGGTTGAGGATCTCCAGAGGGACATCAGGGTTTTTAGTTTCTTTTAATTATGGTTTTATGTTTTGATATTGTGTTTTTAATTTGTCATATTGTTTAATACTTTCTTAAGGGGGGGATTATAATGTTTTAATGTTATATTTTATTCTTGTTATATTTTACTGTTGTCAACCGCCCGGATTGGTTCGCCACAGGGCAGTATACAAATAAATATTATTATTATTATTATTATTATTATTATTATTATTATTATTATTATTATTATTATTATTATTATTATTATTATTAATACAGAGTGCTGGTCATGACCCAGAAAGGCTTATACAGTTTAGGTCCAGCTGTCTGAAATACTATCTCCTGATATGAGCCTACCTGAATTTTAAAATCCTGAGGGGAAACCTTTCTATTAATCCCACCACCAAGCATGGCTGATGAAGACACAGTAGAGGGCCTTTTCAGTGGCTGCCCTCAAGCTATGGAGTTCCCTCTCATAGGAGGCTAGATTGGTCCTCTCTCTGCTCTACTAGTAGGCAAAAATGTTCTTATTTGCCCAGGCCTTTAAGTGACCATTGCAGAAGGACTTTTATTGAGGATGATATATATTTTTATCATTAGTATTACATTTTATTATTATCATGTTTTAACTGCCTTGGGTCCCATACTGGGTGAAAGGTAGGAAATTATTTAATTAAATAAATAATACAGTAAAATCAATTTGCACAATCAAACAATTTTTAAAATAGCTTGTGATAATCTAAAATCATATTAAAGAATTTAACATGTCAAAAGAATTTAAAACCATGTAGATATAAAAATTAAATCTGTTAGACCACAGAGTGTTTAGCAAAACTCTGTTTTAACTTAGAACAAAAATGAAACTAGCATTGATGCCAGGTGGGCTTTCTAAGGGGAGGACATTCCACAACTGGGGCTTCACAGCAGATGGCCTTTTCCTATGTCCTCATGCAGTGAATTGCTCCCATTTTGGTAGAACACAGAAGAGCAGACCCCAGGCCTTGGGCTAGCATATATAGGAAGAGTAGCTATTTCACATATTGAGATCCCAAACCATTCAGGGTTTAAAATATCTCACTGAGTTCAGACCAGAAGTGCATTGACAGCCAATGTAATTCTTTTTAAACCCATATTATATTATTTCTGTGAAACATCCCCACCAGCTTTTCTAGCTACAGCTTCAGAATCATCTTTGGGACAGCCCTCCACAAAGTACATTTCTGTACTCTAATCACGAAATTGTCATCTCATAAACTACTTTATGCGGGTTATTCCTGGGCATGACAAATTGGCCAAGTAACTATTTCGACCATGTACCATCAGCAGTCTGCGAATGTGTTTAAACAGTATAATGGAAAAATCATCAGCCAAGGAAGCTTGTAGCAGGTTGTAGCAGGTGGGCTGGCCTCAGGAACATCAACTCACAAAGTCCACCTGAGCGTCTAGTTATAGTGATGTATATGAATATTCCCAAGTGCTACGCCTGCTTCCTCAGGAGAGTGCAATCCCAGACAGATTCGCACTGTCTTTGAGTCCCTTTCACACATATCCTTCCCTGAATACATAACAGGAAGACCAAAATCATTCCACCTAGCCATATCTCTGGTGCTAGTCCACTGCTCTGGTCACATGGGTCAGTGGAAGGGGATGTACATAATCAAAATGCTTGCACAGTTTCAATTCTCAGTCAGGTGGGAACCTGCACAAGTAGAAATGCATAACTGCAGGTGCTCATATCTATTGAGGTAAATGTGTCAGCATTTAAGGCATAGCCAAAAGGATGTCGTGGTATCAGAAGACAAAACTGCGTCTTCCAGTGATATGGAGAAAGAAACCCATGAAAGGGATTAATTAGTGCTTGTATGTTGTGTATTGTACAATAGCTTTCCTTTATACAATGCTGGCTATTATGGCTCAAGAAATTTGTATCATAATGTTATTTAAAAGCTTTTTATTTTCAACTGTGGTCACAATTAAAATGAAAGCAAACTGAAACTTTTAATTGATAACTCTCTCTGTGGGCTAGTCTCTTCTCCTGCCCCTTCTGGACCTGTGCCTGCCTCCACCCTGGAGCCACCCAACATACTTTTCTCCATGGGGACATAGGGTAGATTGTCTACACTACACAATTGTCCCTGTAGTTTTCTCTCCTCTGCCACCTTCAGATCTTGGGCTAGTTCCTGGCCAAAATGTTTTCCCTTCTCCTCCTTCCTCTGCTGGTGCACCCATCACTCTGAATGAGACAAATGAGGTGCCAAGCATATGAAATAGAC